CTTTAGCTACCAATCGTGCCTTATACCTTTCTACCGAACCATCTGATTTATGTTTGATATTGAACACCCATTTACAGCCAACTGTACATTTTCCTTTGGGTGGCTCCACAACTGTCCATGTGCCACTCCTTTTTTAGGCCTCCATTTCTTCTAAAACAGCCTTCCTCCACTGTGGTTTTGTCAGAGCCTCATGAATACTTCTAGGGGTCTCTTTTGCAGAAATCTTTTCGGTTGCAGCTCGGAAAGCGGGAAATAGATGAGTAAACGACATGAAGTTGTAAAAAGGATGCTGAGTACAGGTACGAGTACCTTTCTGAAGAGCAATAGGAAAATTAAGTTCACTAACCAACTGCTCTTGCTCAACTGACTGACTCTCCTTCCCTCCAGATTTCTCAGGGAAAAAACCTGCCTCAATCGTTTGTGTGTTTACCTTTGGTTCATGCTCTTGACAGTGCTCCGGAGTTGTAATACGCTTCTGTTGTTTTTGAGATTGTCCACCCCGCCTAGAATAAACACAAAGTTCTTTTTGCGATTCCTTTTGTGGTTCATTTTGTATGTTTTGCACATGTGATTCTCCACCTGTTTCCAAATCATTAGATAGCACAATAGGTAACACAGGACTTTTAGAGTTGTTTTTATTGGTGAGGTAAAGGACTCTAACTCTGACTCTGACTCAATGGAAAAATCCCAAAGCTGCCTTCCACTGTCATTCTCCCCCTGAAGGATAGTTTTGGGGTAGTATGCTTGATCTTCGAAGAATGAAGCATCCATGGATATGTATACTTTTCATGTGAGAGGACAATAACACTTAAAGCCTTTTTTATTTGGAGAGTAGCCCAAGAAAATACATTTGACAGCTCTTGGATCAAGTTTACTCAGCTGAGGAGAGGTTGACTGAACGAAAACAGTACACCCGAATGTTTTGAGAGGAAGATCATGAAATAGACGAGCTTAGGGATAAGACTGACGAAGAATGTTTAAAGGTGTTTGATACTGAAGGACACGAGATGGAAGACGATTGATCAGATAGGAAGATGTAAGAACTACTTCCCCCCAGAAGATTTCTGAACATTATTAGTGAACATGAGTGCACGAGCCATTTCAAGTAGGTGTTTGTTCTTACGTTCAGCAACACCATTTTGTTGAGGAGTGTCAACACCATTTTGTTGAGGAGTGTCAACACGAGAGCTTTGATGAATTACTTCATTTTCTTCTAGATAAGGACCCAAAGTATTGTTAAAGTATTCTCGTCCATTATCCATACGAAGAATTTGGATTTTTGTCTGAAATTGGGTTTCCAGCATTTTATGAAACTATTGGAAAATCAGGGCGGCATTTGACTTTTCTTTCAAAAGGAATACCCAACAAACTCGAGTGTGATCATCAATAAAGGTTATGAATCAGCGTGCACCAGATATGTTACTTATTCTTGAAGGACCCCAAACATCACTATGAATGAGTGAAAAAGGTTTAGAAATTTTATAAATTTGTAAATGATGGGGAACACGGGTATGTTTTGCAAACTAACATGTTTCACAGACAAACGAGTGAACATCTTTATTGACAAACAACGAAGGAAACAACTTTTTTAGATATAGAAAACTAAGATGACCAAGTCTATTGTGCCATAACATAATTTCATTGGAAACAGAAACAGAATTACAACTCAAAGCTTGAACTTGTTTATTCTTGGTAAGTGGAGAACCTTCGAATAGGTATAGCCTATCACATTCCTTAGCACTATCAATCGTTCTCCCCGAAAGTAAATCCTGAAACTCACACAAGGAATGAGAGAACTTAGCAGTGCAATTCATATCTCTTGTTAACTTTGCAATGGACAAAAAAAAGATTACAAGCAATAGTTGGAATATATAACACAGAATGCAACGTTATATAATCCGAAATTCTCACTATTCCTTTTCCTATTGCGGATGCTAATGAGCCATCAGTAATTTTAATCTTTAGACCGTCATTACTGGTATTGAACTCTGAGAAAAGACTCCTACAATTGGTCATATGATCTGAAGCTCCCGAATCAACAATCCAAACATCTTTATATGCAATTTTGGTTGTTAAAGCGGAGAGAAAATTACCCTTTTGTGCTACTGTTGCTGTTGGCCCTGAAGACGATGTTGTTGCCGGTGCTCGTTGTGACAAGAGCATTTCGTCCAGATGAGGTTGTAAAGCCTCAGCTTTCCCCAGGTTGTCGCTGGCGCCAGCGTTCTCGTGTTGGTTTCTAGTCCGGTGGCTTCCCATGAATCTCCCAGCATGTGTCCTTGGTGTGTCCATTACGTTTGCAGTGATCACACCACGGCTGGTCATTCCTCCTCTGATTTTGGCTCTCTCCACTGGAACTAGGATTTTTCACCACCAGCATTGACTCTTGGTGTGGTGGTTCTATAATAGGCTGAGAATTACTTTCCTTTCGGCCAAGCATCACTCTTTGTCGTGCTTCTTCACGTCTCACTTCTACAAAGGCCTCCTTAATTTTCGGGAATGGTTTGAAACTAGTACACGTCCACGAACTTCATCCAGTTCCTTGTTGAGTCCGAGTAGGAAATCAAAAACTCGTTCTTTGTCAAGCATCTTCTTGAATTTTGCACTATCGGTGGAGCAGCTCCAATTGAAATCCTGGTACAAATCCATTCCCTGCCACAATACTTATAATTCATTATAGTATTCGGTTACACTAAGATTACCTTTCCTTTTTTCTCTTAAGGCTGATTTTAGTTCAAAAATTTGGGTTGAATTCCCAAGATCCGAATACATCTCCTCTACCATTTCCCAAATTGCATTCGCTGTCTTGTAGAAAAGGTAGACACGGCTGATTGCAGGTTCCATTGAGTTTAACAGCCACACCTTCACCATTGAGTCCTCCGACTTCCATTTCTTGTATGCAGGTGTCCCGATTTCAGGTGGTGTTGCTTCTCCAGTCAAGTAGTCTAGCCACCCTTTACCATCAAAAACAAGGATGATCAATTGGGACCATTCGACATAGTTTGCTCCGTTTAGTTTGTGATGCATGATCTGCAGTGAGTGACTATCGCTAACATTGATGATTTGTTGTGATCCTCCTTGGGAGTTCTGAGTTGTTTGCGAGATGTCCTCGCTGGTGGCTTTGGAGGCAGCTTCACAACCTGTCATAGCGTTTTTCACCACCAAGAATAAGAAACTATTCCTGCTCTGATACCATAAAGGTTTTTCAGAGACAGGATGAAATCTTTTCATATGACACCTTTTACAACTATTCTTTCTCTTTAAATAGAGAAGAACCGAAGACCACAATCACTCAAGGAAAAATGCCGGTGATTTCTTTCCTAAAATAAGAAAATCACAATCCTAACTATCCTAGAAACATACCAAATATAACTCTAGAAATTAGGAAACTAATTTACACAAAATCAATCAAAGAAAGTAACCAGATTTCTCTCCAATCACTCGATTTCTCCACAGTATGCCATGGCTTTTTGAAGTGTTGGCACCACAGTTTCTTACGCTTGTCGTTTTCCGGTTCAAAACCTTTGGATACAAGGGCCGAGCTTTCAATCTCCAAGTTAGGGCTGGTTTCATTGTTGTATAGCATATTTCTCCTCCTCGCTTCTTCACGTCTGACTTCAGAAAACACTTCCCGAATGGAAGACAGCGGTTTCCTACCAAGAATACAGCCTCCGACTTCATCCAAACTCTAATTAAGGCCGGCTAGAAACATGTAGACCCTGTCGCTTTCCTCTCTCTTCTTGTAACGAGCATAGTCATTGGGACTCTCCCAAACATCGTCATAGCATTGATCAAGCTCCTACCACAACGTCACCAATTCGTTGTAATAAGTGGTGAAATTCCGAGCATTCTTCTTGGATTGTTAAAGTCGGGTTTTTGACTCGAATATTTGAGAGGGGTTTTCAAGGTCTGAGTAAAGATCACAAACGGCTTCCCGCACATCTCACACATTAGGAAGAAAAAGGTGTGGTTTCCCAATAGCTGGTTCCATTGAATTTATGAGCCAAGCCGTAACAAGGGAGTTCTCGGACTGCCATTTTTTCAAGTGAGGATCTCCTGCAGAAGGTTTAGAAATCTCACCAGTCAAATGCCCGAACTTGCCCCTGTTGTCAATTGCTAATTTCACGAACTGAGCCCACTCGAGATAATTCTGCCCATTGAGTTTCGTGGCCGTGAGTTGCATGCTAGAATTCTACGAATAAAATTTTGCAGGGATTGGAACAGAAAAATTTGCAGGAACTGGAACAGAAGAATTTGCAGGAGTTGGGTGATTAGTTCAGAAGAGCCTGAGGAGACTATAGATTTATTTTGGGTGCCAGCCATCGCTGCCTTGTAGGACATCGTGAGGGAGAAAGAAAAGAGCACGGTCGCTCTGGTACCGTATTGGGTTAGGGAAGAAAAAATATAATAATTTTCCTTCAATTACAAAGAACGAGTGCAGGTATAAATAGCAAAGGAATGCCCACAAAACCAGCAATTACAGCTCACACACAACAGCAAATCCTCGGCTATAAACTAGGAATGGAAACTACATTTATTTCTGATTTATTTGCAAATATAAAATATCCTAGAATGGCCTAATTCACTCCTACAAATGCCTAATTCACTTCTACAAATCCGACAATTACTTATCATTGCAAAAGCATATTTTTAAGTATATCAGTACACAAGATGCAGAAGATGTCAAAAGACCTTAATAAACTCAGGCTCATTCGTGGATAATGGTATTTTAGTAAATAATGGAGGTAAGACAAACCCAGAATTAAACCACATACAACTTGCAGGTATAAATGAGGATCCAAAATTAATTGGATCAAAAACAAACTGCTACTAAGTGGTATTAATGAGCTATTTAGAAAAAAATTCAAAGAATAACTTCAAATTGAAATGAACTATCTCAATACAGCTACAAGGGACTAATGCAGTACAAGGTCAACCATAAATGTACATACATTACAGGGCAACCAAATCTTGTATTATATCAAAGTACATGTTATTCTTACTTTGTCAAACGCTTGACGACATGCACTTGATCCGGTGCCAACAAAAGGAATATTATATTTTTCCAATAGCTCCTGGAACATGCATGTTTCAATAGTAAGAAACTCCAATCAATTTATAAGTTCTTCTAAGGGAATAAGAGAAGTTTAAAAAAAAAAAAAAAAAAAAAAAAAACATAAAAAAAAGAAATGTATGCATACATTGTTGTTAAAATATAATAAAGAATTAGAGCCCGTTTGGTTGGAGGATTCATTCTCTGATTCGAATCATGGTTCATGGTTCGCTACAGTATTTTCTCTCACAAAAAATACGCGTAAATTGAAAATAATTATAATCTCATAGTTCTAATCCATGAACCAAACTGGCTCTTACACTAAATCATACCTGAATGCCGCCATCTTCACCAAACTGACCGTGTATAACAGGGAATACTATGTCCACAGAGGCAACTAAATGTTCTGCAAAATCAGACAAACACTGGAAACCTTGGGCAAGGCTGCACATAAAAGTAAAACTAATTAGGAATCTCAACATTTCTAGGCACAACATGACAGAATTTCAAAGTCTAGAACACTTATCCATACCTTTCAAGTTTAAAATCAAAATCTGCTGGAGTGTTTGAGTACATCTGAAATATAAAGAGAAAGGAAAATGAGGAAATAGTGAAAAATCACAACAAATGTGCCTAGGTATGCTAGTTTCTAGTTAAAATATGTAGATGGAGCCAGAAAACATACAAGAACACAAAAGAAACAATTGCCAATATAATCAATCTAACCAAATTCACTTAACCAAGAATTCGACAACAATGAAAAATATTTCGATGGTCGATCAGATATCAAGAACTGATCAAGTGAATGAAAAGCAGAGGTAAATTGAATAAATCACGCTACAACTCGTCTTGAATCCAAAAAACAGTGGATACAGCGCATAATATTTGAACAACCACCGAATCACAAACTTCAATAGCCTAGAAAATATTATGACCTCATAAACTCTACAATCTAGAACCTCCATTGCAAACTCACCAAAATCAAGACCTTAGGCATTACACATACAAGCACCCAAATAAGGAATCTGAACAAACCTGTCCAAACTACAATCATGTAAAAGCTCTGCAACAATCACAGACACGCACGCATATTTAAGAAAGAACAAACGTCCAAACCTGAGCAGAAGATATCGCGTACGCATTTATATTAGAATCAATATAATAGCAGCTGACGTGCAAATCATCTCCCTGTTAACACAAAAACAATTAACCAATTATTATATTCATATACCACAAATAGGATTAAATTAAACCTCAAGTTTCTCTGCTCAACTCTCTGTTCCTTTTTTTTTTTTTTTTTTTTTTTGAGAATCAATTGTCTCTTATCTTGGTAAATACTAAACAACATTAAATTCAATTCCCTTATTTCCAATTCTTTTGAGGTCCGTGACACTTCGACGTTCAGAATTTCATAAACACAATGCAATTGTCAAGTCTTCAATTTAGACAGAAAAAACTTTGAAGCACTAAAGCAAAGTTCTAATACCAGAAATGTTATAAAAAGAAATTCAAGGACTAAAATGTAACGATCTCTAAAATTGATGCGTACAAGTAAATTAACCAATTCTTTTTAGCTTTTTTACTTCACTTTCTCAGAAGCCAAACAATACTAAATAAAAATCCGAATTCATACATTACCTGTATGTGATCGAGAACTGATCTCGCGGAGTTGAGAGAAATCCCGCGCTCCGCAGAAGGACCTCCGCAAACGACGCCAACTCTCAACACTCCGCCTCTCTCTTTCTCTTTTTCTTCCCCTTCTCTCTCAGCCGTCACCACCTCCGCCACGGAGGCACGTGGAGCTCCCACGCCACTGGCAAAGCCCGTCGCTGTCGAGAGCGAGAACTTAGCGGTGCTGCTTGAGTCGCGCGGTCTCAGTCCCAACCTCCGGGAACGAGCGGCGGCGGAGACGTCGTTTTGGTCGCCTCGAAGCATGGCGAGGGCCGAAACGGATGCAATCGACACCATGGGAATCAGAGCTTTGGTTTCTGAGAAGAGAGACTGAACTCAGAGATGACAATAACATATTTACATATGCATAAGGTGCTGAGCTTTGATTTCTTTGGATTTTTTTAGAGCGGCAGAGAGAGAAATTTCTGTCTTCTTTTGGCCGTTGGTATTGTCTTTTTTTTCGAGTAGTGTATTCTGATTATAATTAATAATAATAATAATAATAATATTTGCTTTTTGAGCAGTGGACTAATGTTATTGTTTTCTCTTAAAATTGTTGGTTTAAAATATGAAGATACTTTTGGACACATTGATTGCTGTATTAGGTAATGACGTTTTGGGGTGTTTTTTCTCTGTCCATGACTCGTTGAAAGATGCTAAGCGTGTAGAACCAAAATCGGCAAAAACGCGCAGTCTGTGCATAACTTATTTAAAATAATAATTATACAAATCGCTAAAAAAAAAAGAAATAAATGATAAAAAAATTAAAGATAAAAACGAAAAAAAAAAATTTAAGCAAAAGATAGAAAAAAAAAGATAAAAAAAATCTTATACAAAATGTTTTAGAATTGAAACTGAATTTTATAAGAACTACAGGTAAAAGATATTTATTTAAGAACATATTTAAAAATGAATTAATTTAGTAAAATAATTAAGAAAATTAATACTTTAGGTAGTTAAACGAGTTGTATTTGAAAATATAAAAAAATAGATATTAAATGATGTATTAAGAAAAGATAAGGGAAAAAAATAAAAGAAAAATAAATTTAAAAAAAAAAAAAGAAGCTAAAAAACCCACACAAAAAGGGGGCAACGAAACTTCCCCTAGAATACGGATTCTCACTAGGGTAGATAGAGATACATCTCATTCTCCGGGAGAAAAGAAAACAAAAAAGAAAAAACCAAATGACTCAGTTGGTAATGTTTTTAAAATAATTTTATTTTCAACATAAAAATAAAAATGAGATTATTTTAAAAATTATTTTGAAACTGATTCTGAAATTATATTTGGTTGGTTTTTTAAGAGATTATTTTTAGTGTAATAAACGAGTAAAATCGTGTTTGATTATAATTATTAATTAATATATTATAATATTATTGATAAGTACTAAACATGAAAATAGAAAAAAGAAAATAACTTTTAACTGTTTTTTAATTTCTTTACAAAAACTATTATTATTGTTTTTTGTTTTCGTTTTCATTTTTAAAATATTCGCTAAACAAACACGGTTTACAAACCATTTTTATTTTCGTGTCTCAAAATACGTGCAGAAATATTTTTAAAAATAATTTGAAACTAATTCTAAACGCACTCAAAAATAGTGAGGAATACCCTTAAAAAGCGGGCCTTTGGATTTATGACTCGTCATATTTAAATTTTGGATTTCTGCCTCTTTAATGAACTAATCAAACTGTAAAAGTTAATAATATAAGGCCCCGTTCACTTCGCAGATTCGAGTTTAGAATTCGAGTTTTTCTACAGTAAAAAGCTCTCACAAACAATCACATCTAACTTTTTTGTTACAATAAAAAACTCACATAAAGTCACATCTCAACTCGAATTCTAAACTCGAATCAGCAAAGTGAACGATGCCTAAATCTTACAAAAATTACGTGTTGGTCGAAAAAATAATCTACAAATTACCAGCAATAATCTACCGGATGAAGGAATTCACGTAAATTCATAATCTACAAAATTATGTTTTATTTTTTACAAAAACATGGACATTCGTCTTTGGTTTCCCACACAGGAGAGACGGTTGGTATATTATTTTTTATTTTCAGCTAAAACATGATCAACCGTAAAACAACAAATTACCAAAATAATACAAAAAATCAATACTAGAAAACCAGATTATGAAAAATTTAAAAACCAAATTACAAAAAGATCATCACAACATCATATTACAAAAATTTCATACACTGATACAATCTTTGGAGGCGGGACACATATCTTCCTAAGCGTTTCTGTAATCATGAAGAAACCCGTATTGATATAAAAACATTCACAACAATATATAGTTTATTATCAATAATCAATAATTTTAACCTAAACACGTATTCAATTTTAACCTGAATATTAGACGGGCTAGGTTTGTTTTTTGCCCTTGTTTCTTGGGTTTATTAGCACACCCAAACGAGTTTACGTGAATTAATCTAAAAATTAAGAGATAATTAGGGCCACTGCCATGGGTTTAAAGTAGGGATCGACTTTTATTAGACCATCAAAAACTGTTCTGGGATCTGACACAAGAATTAATAGATAAAATATGATGAGGATGTTTTTACCTTTAAGGTGCGTTTGGTTATAGTAACAGAATGGTAATAAAAATGGTAATGAAAATGATAATGAAATGAAATTAGAATGTATTGGAATCATAAACTGATTCTTTTGTTTGATTGAAATTACAGAATTAATACCTGAATGAGGATTATGCTGTTTGGTTGACAACGGAATGAAATAAAAATAAACTGTATTTTGACAAAAATACCCTTGATTAATAATCCTAAGTAATTTAATATTTTAATTAATTAAAATAGTAAAAATAACAATTTAATTGTTGAAAAAAACTTATTATTTGAAGGATAATAATTTAAAAACTATATTTCAATTGTAAAAAAAATAATATTTGATATTTTTATGTAATAATAAAATATCACATGCTGAAATATAATAACTTTTAGAGTCTACCATGATATGTTCCATGAAAAATATAACTTTGGCCCCTATCAATAATAAAAATGATAATATATCATTCAACTACATATATAATCCCAAAATATAGTCATATGCCAAGCAAAGCAAGTTCCTAGTTAATACAATTTAACAAAGTGAAGTATAATCCTAATTAATTACAATATCAAAAGAAAAATGCATAGCACATGCACCACTATATCAAAAGAGAAATGCATAACACATACACCACTATATCAAAAGATAATCCGGCTATGTTTTTCCACTTAAACTAAACAAACACTCCTAAATATCACCAATAAGCAAAGCTCTAGCCCACTCATCTTTTTCATCATCAGGGATACTAAAAAAGTAAGAAACTAAAGCATCATCCTTTATCATCGTCCGAGCTACCTTATGTCGTTCCATTGTGTTAATGGTTGTGGTCCTTTGTAGTTCATCCCTAATCCGGCTATGTTTTTCCGTCATGTCTTCACCGATAGCCCGACTTAAACGTTCACTTGCCTTTTCAATAACACCGGCAAGTAAAGTAGATGATCTTTCAATGGCTTCATAAGCCTCTGCGTTGTTTGGACTCTTTCTTTTTCTTTTAGACGACCCTTGAGATTGAGCTTGAGTTTGAGGAATAGCCGATGTTTGTGAGAAAGACATTGATTGCGCTTCACTTGCGTAAGCTAGTTGATGAACATATTGCCTATGAACAAACACGTCAAGCACATAAAATTGTCTCTGTAGTCGGCATGGTTCTATATCCTCCATCACCACTCTTGCCATCAATTGAAAGAACCATTGCACTACATGCATAATATTCAACCAATGTAAAAGCAAAGCAACTATCTTCCTCTTTCTCAAACTCTCACTCTTGACTAATCCTAAGCGAGCCATTATCCTACAATAAAACAATCAAAAGGATGTTCAAAATTGTATAAGAAATCAATGTCTCCTGTTTTCTTTAATCGACTTCATGTTCAAAATTGTATAAGAAATCAATGTCTCCTGTTTTCTTTAATCGACTTCATGTTCAAAATTGTATAAGAAATCAATGTCTCCAAAATTGTTTGAACGAGAGCCAGTGAAAATTCAAATATTAGAGAAAAAGAACAATGCTAGCAAATAGCAATTGCTACCAAGCTACTGAATATCCTTTCCTGCAACACTATTGTTGAAAAGGCTTTCCTAATTCCTTTTCTTAATGCGTGTTTAGGTTTTTGACCGTTCTTATTGACAGACATGTTGAACGAGTTTCCCGTAGAATGGTACAATGTACTTGCACTGTTCGATTAGTTCTAAATGTATTTATGTACTAGTTCTGCTGATAATGTATTTGTGTACTAGTTGATGAAACTAAATTTCACTCTCTTTTTGCAGTGCAACCTGGCTTATGCTACCATGGTTTTAGCCGTAAATCTGCAGGTTATTTTCACTTCCTTTGGATTTCAATAACTAAAATAAATTGGCATATTATCCACTTTCCATCCGAGTATGAAACCAACTAAACATTGAGGTTGTTTATATGCTCTATTCAAGATCAAACTTTCTGTACGTATTGTTCAATGTTTTTTTTTTTTTTTTGATCAACCAAACTCAACCCTTTTCTTAATATGTACAAACTCTTCACTTACCACCATTAGATAGAGAGAATTGCCAAATGGTTATTAGGTTTCCTCAATTTGCATAAGCTTATCACTGTATATCGCATTATAACACAAACAATGCTTTGAATGTCAAGTTATTTGCTTGAAGCTCCCCCAAGGGCAATCCAATGCTGATATTTAGCAGTCAAAAAAGTTTTCCCTTTATTTTTCGTTCAACTTGATAGTAGTACACATAAGCTCAATGAGCCACTTCAGGAATTAATGAACGAAATTGTATAAACTTTTTTTTTTATCAATCATTTCATTTTTCCAATTTGATCCAGATAAACCCATTTCTAGTTGATGGGAGCTTTAAAATCTTATAAAGAAAAACATAGATAATATTGCACTAGATTACAAATGATCGTGAAACTATGCAATACTCTGGAAATTCTGTAGAAGTCCATTTTTTTGGTGAAACAACAGGCTTCAAACTAGAGGGCTATTGTTGGGTTTTCCACTAATCTCATAAAAACCAATCAAATTTCCAGAAACCAATCAAAGCTGTGTTAAATATCTGGAAATTTTACCAAAAAGAAGCAGCAAATTGAAGAAAGTATGAACATTTCCTCCGTCAAACGACAATAAAAAGAAAGACGACAGCAAACAGGAGTTCGACGAAATAGTACCTCGTCTTCGTACCGGTGAAGCACCGGTGAAGATCCGAGAAGCAGCAGCAGCAGCAGCAACGAAGCGAGACAAGAATCGAGCCGCGCGAGAACTTCTTCGTTTCGATCAGAGCCAAACCTCTTGGATATTCACCGGTGATCGAGAAGAATCAAGCCAAACCTCTCTTGCCGGAGATCGAGAAGAAGAAAAACAAAAGGAAGCGAGGAGTGCTCTGGAGGTCGATGGTCAATGGCTGGAGCTCGGTGGTCGAGCAAGAAATGGGGGCTAGGGCAGGAACGTGAATCAGGGCTGAATGGAAAAGCAATTTCCCCC